AGTAATCGGAAAGATGAGGGTTTGACAACAGACAGACAGACAGACAGACAGATATAACGCAGGACTTTGTACGCACGTAAGTACATCATCAGTTCAGATTGCCGTACCACAACATCAGCACAGAGACGTAACTGTCAGTCAGTTCTCGAATCCAGGAGTGATAGCGATAGTAGAAGTATATTAGCACAGCAATGAAGAAGATTAGGGAGCGACGACCTTGAGTAGCTGCTGCTTTTAGTCTCATTGTTCTCCAATCGACCTGCCTGGCATGGGGTAGAACCTTCAGGGACATATGTTCCAGCCAGTGTAGTTCGGTTGGGTTATGACGATAGGCAAGCTCGACCACCACATCATCAAGGTAGTAGCTACGGTCGGGAGGGTTCGACGATATTATTCAAGAAGTAGAATCTAGTGAGATAACTTTGGAAAGAGAAAAATAGAGGTGATGAATTCAGAAGGTTAGTATTTGAGAGAAGCCAGAGAATGGATGTACCTGCGCCATTGCAAACGGTTTGGAGCCATGTGTCTAAGGGTCTCTAACCATCGATTACTATCATCTCCTCTGACCTCAACCAGGTAGTGGACACCTACCAACATGACTCAATCCAGTTGTCAATGACTTGACGGATTTTTGCCATGTTCTGATTTGGCTGCGCCTAGTTTTCTCCCGGCCTGACTAATCAATACAAAAGTTTGGTTATGTAAGGTTTCTTCATGATTATAAAACCTGATTTTTTTCATGTCTTTGGCACAAGCTACACTCTTTGCTTAACCTGACCCATCAGTCACACTCAGCACAGCAGTTGATACGTCAGATTTTGCTATAGGAGCTGTAATGTAACAAGACATCTCTGGAAGTTGGCAGCCTCTCGAATTTTTTTGTCTCACGACGCCTCATTTCCACTCAGACGAGATATAATGCTGTTGTTGATCGAGAACTCTTAGGAGCCTACTGTGCTATCAAAAATTTTCGGTACGCAGTTAAAGGTCGTGAGTTCATACAATTCACTGACCATAAGCCTCTAACGTATTCTTTGCATACTAAGTCTGATCGTTACTCACTACGAGGACCCAGTTCACCATCAACTGAGTCAAATTATTTTGTTGGCTCTCTGTCACGTCTCCAAATAAATGCTGTCACTTCACTTATGCTCGACCTACACTCTATGGCTACCGCCCAAGCACACGATTCTACCTATACTAGAGCGGCACTCTCTACATCGCTTCAGTGCCTCTAGCTCAGGTACTATCCTGTGTGATTTAATACAGTGAGCTAATTAGAAATTACGATTGGCCTAACGAGTAGGTTTATTTTTGTTGTGAAAATATATAAACCATTGAAAGGAAGGAGGTGAAGTCCGTTGACTTTTCGAAGTGACCAGGAAGAGCTTTTTGTAAACTAAAATGTAACATTTGTGAAAAGAAAAGAATGATTATTGTATAGGGACGTCGATACAACCAAACTATTTTTAAATAGAATTCTTACAGTACATATGGGCGGATGTTTTCACTACGGTCTACTACGAGTGGAGTAGACGACATACTTGTGCTTCCTACTATGTTTGAAAGCTTTTTGAAACAACGAGACGCGCTGATAAGCATTAATGAGAGACATGGTAATTTCTCCTAAGTATGCTTTATAGCTCATATTTAATACGAACATGTCAGAGAGATATGTCTACCGATAACAGGAACATAGGCGTAAATGGGTGCGGTCACTAGTATACATTATATACATATGGAAAATGTTTAAACTAAGTCTACCCATTCTCTGAGTGCATATAAAAGCATAGAAGTTTCCACACGTAAGTATACCCTATATGCAACTATGGTATGCATTGATCACGGTTCATACATTCTTATGAGTACAACATAGGCATGAATGCATTTACCTCAAATTATAGCTCTGTGATATCAGTTGTACTAAATGATTATCAAGTAGCTAAACCAGCTTAGAAAATAAGTCGTCTGTTGACGATATACTCCTACACGCTCTTACCGAAAGCTTTGTATCGACTCCTGCTCACTGAGTACAGCTCAGTTTATGGACACCGGTCTGACCCGCCCCACCTAATGGATCTTTTTCCATAGAGTCTAGAGAGTTCCAGGTGTAAATCTCTTTAAACACATCATCACATTCAGCTCTACAGCTCACGCGTTCCTGCAATCTAGCATTTAGATAAGAATGGGTGATTAACCTGATTTCCTCTTGGTCGCTTTGGTTAGCTCACGGCGGAGGTGAATCGTCGTTACTCAGAGAGTGCTGTACGGAAGTACAACCTGGTCTTTGTCCCCCCCTATATACGTATGTAAACGAGTTTAAGGTTGTTTATTGATTTGCTCCGTCAAAAAACTTTACCACTTTCAATCTTTTAACTCACAAAGTAGGTTGGGCTCAAAGTTATAGGGATTTTACGTATTAGTGTCAGCTTTCCGACATATGTATTGAAACCTCATCAGGTGAGATGGTTGGGACATGTGTGGACACGTATGCCTAACCACCGACTGTATCTCCGACCGATGTTTTGTGGTAAAGGAATAGGTTGAAAGAAAGTTAGGGGTGGCCAAACCAAAACATGTCAGAAATCCATGAAGTCATTGACAAATGGATTAAGCCATGTTGGTAGGTTTCGACTACCTGGTTGAGGCCCGCGAGATGGTAGCAATATGATGGTTAGAGACCGTGGATGTCATGACTCAAAATCGTTTGCAATGGCGCAGGGGCATTCATTCCTTGTGTTCTCTCGAATTCTAACCTTTAGTGTTCCTCATCCTCTTTATCTTTTTCTTTTGAAGTTTATTTCACCAGAGTCTATTTCTTGAATAATATCATCGAACCCTAATCTCTCCGATTACTGCTAATATTTGTAGTACGTCTACCACTATAGGATTTCAATCGACAATTGCGCCTCTGCGCTAATGTGGTATAGCGACTTGAACTGATGTATGTTCTTACGAAGTTCTATGTATTTGTCTGTTGACTGTATGTCCTAATATTGTTAGGTATGCTAGATCTGTAGAAATCATTTGGTATAAACTTTCCATTTGTGGAAATTTCAAACTTCTTGTTTTCGCGCCAAAAGCACTGTTACAAATGCAGCTTAAACGTGTCAGTTTGATATGCTTGAACTATTACGAATTTACCTTATTTGGAAAACGAGGGCAAGTATCGATGATACGGCGACACGACATGCTACTCTAATCCGAGTGTCCTAACCCCCATATTTAGTTAAAATAAGAAGACTTGATATGAAGTAGAACCTGTATTCTACAACCATCCAGAAAGTACGAGGTCCGAGACCAGAAGAGGATAAGGATCTCAGACTAGGGATTCAGGTCATGAAACGTTACAGATAATGCGTATTTATACATTTAGGTCGACTAGGAAACAACATTGAAGTCTGTGACATTGACAGTTAAGACGACCAATAAGAAACAACATTGTAGTACGCGACATTGATATCTAGGACGACCATAAAATTGACCAGTAGGAATTAACCGAAAGGAATTGACCAATAGTTCTCTTAGGATATTTGATGAATATCCTAACAAGCACTGATTATTATTACTGTCAATCTGTGTTCCTCACCTAATATGCTATTTTATGACTCTTTCAAGGATGTTATTTTCTGTAGTGTATCATTGTTTAGGTGTTCGTATCTGTCTGTTTCTGGATTGTACATTTTTCCTGTACACTCTGAACTTCTTCCTCTAGTTAGTTAGTTAGCTAGCTGAGTTAGGTAGGGAACAGTGAAACAGCTTAGCTTGGTCCTGCTACATTATTGTATTTCACTGTTTATCACATTTTCATTGATCGATACCAAGTTGTTTTAATGTTACAAATATAATAATTAGTTGATCAGTTCATATAGTCACCTTTCAAGTCATCTCTTACCGCGCACTGGACAAGTAAAATGGTTAGCTATCTGAACTCAGTAGTGGAGTGTATAACACAAATGGCGTTTGAAACAAACAGTACTGAGTTCATAAGTTCCTGAGTGAACATTGTTGGTGACGTTAGATCTCCAGAACTCACTTGAAAAACGTCCACAAATTGGACTTTTGTGTTTTCGCGCATGGGCTGCTCAGTTGACCTTGAGATTATATTTCCCATTCGGAAAATCCTTGACTGTTATTGGTTGATGTGTTATTTTAGTACGCTATTTTTGTGGCTTGTCAACACCTCTTGTTAAAATTAGCAGGGCCGGGGACAATCGAATAAGAATACCCTATCGTGTCACTGGATCATTTGTCTTCTCTCTCGTTTACCGACTAAGGTGAACTCGTTATAGCATTCAAGCATATCAATTGACGAGTATATCAAACATCCAACTGTAGGCTATGACAAAACACATTCCAGCTAAAAATGAGTGCCAACTAGGACGAGATGTACATCTTGAATTGCACTACTGTGGTGCTGTGGTGCGAGCTACTTATAAGTAGTATATGACGTGAGTGTAAACGTAATGTCTGGCAGCAGAAGATGGGGGAAGATCAACAAGAAAGGAAGAGTTAGAAGAACACAATGGAATTTGTATGAAACGCATGAATAATGAGTGACAATGGATTGATGTTGTTTGCAACAGGAACAGTCAGTCCAGTTCGATATGATGAACTGATATTTTGCAAATGAACGATATGGGTTTCCAATTTTACTGAGTAACTCTGTAATTTTTCGTTAGATACAATTCGGTTGCCTCACCTGTATTGTCGTTCACTACACTACTAGTCACATTCTCTCTGTATTCTCTATAAAGAAAAAACTGATTGTTAATTAGTTTTTCCATTTCCTCTCTCTTCTATTTTCTACTTTTAAAGATTAATCATCCACATTACAGTAAACCAGTGAGTTTTATGTCATCTACGATAGAAAAATCAACAGAACAACATCAACAACTACTCTCTAATAATTTACATTCTACTAATGAAACCGACGATGATAGCTATCATCATCGTCGACATTATCCACAACAACAACAGCAGCAGTATCAGCAGCAGCAATTCTCACCAGTTCAACATCCACATCACCCACATACACAACAACAACATCAACAACCTTATCAATTCAATGAGAAATCTAATTACAAGCCAACAATTGAACAAAAATCTCACAATTCACACTTGTCCAACTCAACGGATGCTAATCAATTGCACATGCCGTCGAATCCAAATCAAAATTATATGATGAAAATGAAAGATGAATCGTTCCATTCATATAAAACTACTACTAATACTACTAATAATACTACTCATAATATGCCTGGATCAAATCATCTACCACCGAATCATGAACAAAATTCATTTGTACAAAATAATAATCAACTTGATGATTCTATGCATCGGATGAATTTAACGAATACACCTTTGGTTCATCAAAAACAAGTAAGTGTTAATTTTTGTTGTTTGTACTTATACTACTTACTTACTTACTTACGGATGTTACGCCCGGCAATGGAGCATAGACCGTCAACCAGTATTCTTCAACCTACTGTGTCTTGGGCTTTCCTTTCCGTTTGCTAACCAAAGGACGAGTTTAGTGCGCAGCGGTTCGCTCCGTCCTACTGTGCGGATACGAGACTTGGCCGTTAAGAGTAGAGGACTTCCGTAGGTTACTAGTCTTCGATCATCAATGTCTCCGAAGCATTGCTCGTGTATCATGGGACAACCGTATAAGCAATGCTGTCGTTAGGAAACGAGTTCTAGGTAGGGATGGCAGATCAATAGACGCAGTAGTGACACTTCATCAGTTGAGGTGGTTGGGACATGTGTTAGGTATGGCTAACCACCGACTGCCGCAACGAGCTATGTTTTTTAGTTTAGGAGTAGATTGGAAGAAACTTAGGGGCGTCCAGAACAAAACATGGCACAAATCCATGAAGTCACTGACAAGTGGACTGAGTCATGTTGGTAGATGTAGGCTACTTGGTTGGGGTTCGCGAGACGATAGTCACCAATGGTTAGAGATCTTGAACGACATGGCTCAGAATCGTTTGCAATGGCGCCGGTGCATCCACTTTTTGTGTTCTATGAAATTTTAAGCTTCTGCATTCCTCATAATCTCTACCTTTCTCCTTCTAAATTTACCTTACTGAATTATACTTCTCAAATCATATCTTCGCTCCCTAATCTTCTCCATTACTGCTAATACTTTTAATATCGCTATCATTCTTGGATTTGAACTGACGGTTGCGCCTCTGTGCTGATGGGGCATGGCAACCTGAACTGATGTGCTTACGTACGAAGTTCTGCGTTGTATCTGTCTGTCTATCTGTCTTGGGCTTTCCTTTCCAGTTCTGTCCGATGTTTGTTCATACTTCTCATATCTGTTCTCTATGTGTTTCTTGGCCTTTCTTATACATTATTAACCGCATACTCTATTCTTTCATTCCGACTTTGTGATTGACATGTTTGTCGAGACGACAATTTTTATCATCTGACTTGAACCTTTGGAAAGAGATTGATTCATTGGGTTATTTAAAATATAACGATGACATAGTTCTGCTTGATGAAGATGCTGACAAAATGCAGAGTGTTTCTGACCACATTAAGCAACAATGCCAGTATGTTCGGGATGCGAATCTCCGCATCGAAATGCAAAATTTTGTTTCAGGATTGGCTTGCACCGGTGCCTGAACTAGTGATGATAGGGAGTGAAGTAGTTGGGCGTGTTGACCACTTCACTAATTATCTTGGGAGTCTTATCAGTGTTGATAGTCTGGTGCCTGATAAAATCTTGGCATGGATATGGAAGGCTCGACTGACTTTTGCCAACTTGTGTCACTTATGGTGTAAGAAAGAAATATCCGTCTTTGAGATGGTGGAGAAGATTTGTAGCTCAGGTGGATGATTGTGGTGCTGGTGTTTGGTTCTCTGAGCTGGATGTTTTGGTTGTGGAGCTTTCATTGTTTTTCTGAACAACATCATCAGCACAAACTTCAGATAGCTGAAGTGAAGCATTCGAATTTCTTCACGTTTGACCTGTAGCTTGTTCTGTTAACCTCGATCTTGATTGGTTGTTGTTGACAAAGAACACCAGGGAATTTTTTGAAGCTTGGCACTCAGGTCAATCAGCAATCAACAAACACGACATTGACCAAATCTATCAACCAATCAGAACGATCATAGACAAACATAGGATCAAGAGACAGATCAAAAGGGAGATACAATCAAAACAAAGGTGCAAACAATTACAGGTTTAAGGTCAACAACGACCAATCAAGATCGAGGTTAGCAGAACAAGCTGCAGGTCAAACGTGAAGAAATTCGAATACTTCACTTCTATCTGAAGTTTGTGCTGATGATGTTGTTCAGAAAAACAGTGAAAGCTCCACAACCAAAACACCCAGCTCAGAGAACCAAACACCACCACCACGAGATATCCGTCTGCTAACCAAAGGATGAGTTTAGTGCGCAGCGGTTCGCTTCGTCCTACTTCATGGCTGTGAAATATATTCAGTAAGAGTAAATGATATTGACAGGTTAGTGATATTCGATCCTGTGTGTACTTGCAGCATTGCTCGGATAACCTGGGACAACCGAGTAAGCAATGCTGTTGTTAGAAAAAGCGTATACTAGATAAGGATGGCAGATCAATTGATGAAGTAGTGATCCTTGATCAGTTGAGGTTGTGGGGACATTTGTTACGTATGCTGAACTACCACCCGACCGTAGCTGCTACCTTGACGTGGCGGTCGGGCTTGCCTATCGTGATGACCCAACCGAGCTATACTGGCTGGAACATATGTTCCAGTAGGTTCTGCCATGCCAGGCAGGTCGATTGGAGAACGATGAGACTAAAAGCAGCTACCCAAGGTCTGAGGGCGAAGTCGTACTGCTGACTCACTGTAGAGGGGTGTGACAGCAGCAGTAAGGTGTTTCCCTCGGACAACCAGCATCTGCAGAGATGCTACCTTCTCACAAGGAAGGAAGGGTTAGAAAAGGTCGACCTTAAAAAATGTCACACCTCACCTTACCTCACGGATTTCCGTCTCCTTGGGTAAGGGTGCCCACTAAGGGCTTTTAAAGAAGAGCGGAGCTAATACTCAAAAATCCTTTCATAAAAAGGCCGTGCATGACCGGCCTCAAGCAGTTATCCCTTGGACTCTGCGATCACGCCCCCAGGTCGTTAAGACCAACACTAATCCATCTTCCTTTTCAGGTTCCTCAAGAACCACCCTTCCACGGTGTGGGCAGCCGGGAAGTGACAATCGCCCTCATACCCGTAACAGCACACGAGAGACCAAATTGGTCAAAATCAAATCCTGTCTGTCTGTCTCTATAATTTATAGTAATTTAAAGTAGTTATTTTACTACCCGTAATAATTAATCTATTTGACTACTATTCCTATCTTTCACAATTTTCTAGTCATTTAATCATGAATCATTCAGTCAACAGTCAGTTTCATCAGCATCAACACCGCGAGGATATACACATCAACAGCAGCATCAGCAACAACAACCTCAATTACAACAACCACACTACCAACACCAAAAACACCAACCTGATGCTTATGAACAACATCATCACAACACGTCAAACTATCCATCATCATCATTAGCATTCAGTAGTAGTAATAGCAGTAGTTCACAAGTAAATTTTGCACCATCCTCGTCTACTAGTACAACAGCACAATCTATGATGATGAATCATACTTCTCCTTCTTCGATGATGATGATGACTAGTCAACAACCACTGGCGCCACCGACAACAACAACAACAACGTCGACATTCTCACCACCACCGTCATTGTCATCGTCGTCGAATGAAATGAATCACATGTATTTCACTCCGCAAATTGATTCTCAATTGAATGCTCATGATAATGCGGCTGATGATGATGTTAATTCGACGAATAATTATGCGTCATTTTCATCTAATCAACAAGCATTTGATTATTTTGCAAATTTACAAAGTGTAAGTGTTGTTGTGGTATTATTAATGTTGTTATTTGTGGTTGTTTGCATATAAGATAATTGCCCTCATTCACAAATCTCTTGGTTATGGTTAAGAGTGTGCATAGTGTCTGGAAATCCGATCGCCCGGTGACCACACTGCCAGGGAAGTTCTCAGTCAGTCAGTCAGATGCAACGTAGAACTTCGTACGTAAGTACATCAGTTCATGTCGCCATACCACATCAGCACACAGAGATGTAATTGTTAATTCAAATCCAATAGTAGAAGAGGTAGTAAAGGTATCAGAAGTAATCGGAGAGGTAAGGAGTAGAAGATATTATTCAAGAAGTATGATTCAGGGAGAAAAGTTTAGAAAGTCAAAACTGGAGGTGTTGAAGAATCCAGAAGATTATGATTTGAGAGAACACAAAGAATAAATGCACCTGCCCCATTGCAAACGATTCTGAGCCATGTCGTTCAGGGTATCTAACCATCGATTATTATCATCTCGCGGACCCCAACCAGGTAGTCGACTATTACCGACATGTCTAAGTCCACTCGTCAATGACTTCATGGATTTCTGTCATGTTTTGGTTTGGCCGCCCCAAACTTTCTTCCAACCTATTCCTACACTACAAAACAAAGCTCTTCGAAGCAGTCGGTGGTTAGGCATACGCAACACATGTCCCAACCACCTCAACTGAAGTGTCACTACTGCGTCTATTGATCTTCCATTCTTACCTAGCACCCGATTCCAGGCAAGTTCTACTTACTTACTGCCTTCTGGTGATAAAATGTTGTTTTATTCATCCAAATTGGCGAGACGAAAAGTGAATGTCCGGCCAGCGGGAGGTGAATACAAAGTATCCATAGCTAGGGAAGTTGAAAAAACCCTTA